AAATGGTCTAAGAATTAGATGATATCAAGGAATTGTTGCTTTTGTTAGGTGTGTTACTGGTAGTGTGGTTATGTAAGAAAATATTCTTATATTTTAGAGATGCAAAATGAATTATCTGGAGAAGAAATAGCATAAGATATGGGACTTGCTTTAAAATGCTTCCAGAGAAAGGAGAGAGAGATGAAGCAAGTGTGACAAAATCCTAATAATTGTTGAATCTGAGTGATGGGTATTTTTTGATACTATTCTTCCTGATTTTGTTTATTTGAAATTTTTCATAATAAAAAAGACAGTGGAGACAGGCAAAACAGAAATTTTCTGGAGGACAATTCAGCCTGATCCTCGTATATGAATGGAGCAAATAAATGGAAAAAGTTATTGCAAAGCACGCTAACTTGCTGTTCTGTAGTTGTCAGCTTGCACTATGCTGATGTCAGTGATCACACCTTGGACGATGCGATCCTGGCGGAAGGAAGGGCTGCTGGTAGGTGTAACAATTCTTTCTCACATCTTTTTTTGCTAACACCTGAGGTGGCACCTCAGCAAATCCAAGCAGCGTACAGAGCAATTTGCAATGTTCTTTTGCATCCAAAAAATGCTAATCATACTCAATGTCCTTGCTGATTCACTGGGGAATAATTTTTGGTCCTGTAAGTAGATCTCAAGATTTAAATGGAACTTGGAAGAATTTAACAAGTGTGTTGATTCTGTACAGATTGCCCCTCATCCCATCTCTCCCGACGCTTCCTCTCTGCCTGCCCTATTTGAGTAAGACTGCTGAGTGAAGGAAGAAGAGACTTCTGTTTTTTAGATGAAGGGTTACAAAAGTCAGGACTACAAACACAGCCAAGTGTGTGACTACTCTCCATTCCAGAGCCTGGGGCCCGCAGACATCACTAATTGATCACAGTTTTCCTTCCCAGTGGACTTCTTGCCACACTACTCCAGGTAGCAGCATACTGATGAAATCATTCCTACCTAAAAGCTCTTCATACTGGATTATAGAGTGAAGCATTTGCCTAGCTGTGTTTTGTTTTGTTTTGTTTTTTCTTTTCATTTCTACAGTGGAACAAACAAGAAGAAAAATACCTTGAATAGAAACTCAAGGAATTTAGATTAGATTGTATTTGAGGAAGAGCCTTATTTGATGAGGATGAACTCTGGAATAATTACTTAGAAAGATTAAGATGTCTTTCTTAAAAGACCTATTAAAACTGGGCAGATTCTTATTGCCTGAAATGGTCTAGGACTAATGAGGTTGACAACCATCTTTTGGCCTATGGCAGGGCCTCTGATGTTTTTACCTGCCCGGCATTCCTTTTCCCTTCTCCTTTATAATAGAATATTCTTTCTTTTGGGGAAATCTGTATGTTTGTGTAGGTCTGCCCCTTCCCTTCTATGTGGACTGGGCACACTTAGCCAATCACCTTACCCCATTTCCTTGACCACAGAAGTCAATACATGGATGGGCACATGGCTCTAGATTTCACCCAGAATTTTTCAGCCAGATCTTTTGGAGAAAAAGCTCTTTATCTATTGAGCTGATGAAGTGGCTGGCTGTGAGGCTTGGGTTGCTGGTGGCTACAATGCCCTTCACATGGGAAAAGCCAACAAACAAAACAGAAATGCTGGAGATGATGGACAGGAAAGTCCTCCTTAAATTATCTGAGCCTTTTGGTTCTAAGTGTGCCTGAAGCAAGATTCACTCCCGGATAATTGAAATATGAGCAACCACGAATTGCCCTTTTTTTCTACCTTAGTTTGAATTGGGTTAGTGTTATTTTCAGGCAAAGTCCTGATTGGCATGGCATGTGAGATGCTTCGTTCATTCCATTAACATTTATTAAACAGCCGCAGTCACTTTGGCCCTGAGAGACACCTAAAAGAAAGACAATCCTTGTTTCAAGGGTTCACAGTTAAAGAGACAGTTATGATACAGTAACAATATAATAGATGACATATATAGTGCTTCATATGTTCTGAGGACTAGTCGAAGCATTTTACATATGCTAAGATTTAATCCTTTGAGACGCATTCTGTTACTTGTTCCATTTTAGAGATAGGGAAAACGAGGCACAGAGAGATTAAGGAAATTGCCCCAGTTTACCCAGTTCAGAAGTAGAAGCTCTGGGATTTAAACTCAGGTAGTTGGCTTTTAACTACCACATTCCAGAGCTTCATTATACCTAAGGGCCAGTGTTGGAGTTATACCAGAGAATAATCAATCATAATGACTACCATTCATCGAATGCTTTCCATGTGCCCAGCCCTGTGCTGGGTGCATTTCTGTCTTAACACATTAAATCTTTTCAAGGAGTATTTATTGTATAGTTCAGGGAACTGAGGCTCAGAGAGGTTAGGTGACTTGCCCGGATCACACAGTTAACAAGTGGCAAAGAGCGAATTTGGATTCAGTCATGTCTACTTCTAAAGCCTTTGCTCTTTCTCTCGTATTTCTCCAGAGGACCTTACCTTCCAGCTTTCCCACTAGAGGTGTAGCATGTCTGGGATGCTTATGACTGGCTGCCAGTGAGTGGGAAATGGAGTCAACACTGGAGTCCGGTAACACCAGAGAGTGTGGCGTATTTTGCTCACAGCAGTGCTGCTGGAATTTGTGCATACCTTTCAACCTGATACTCCTGAGAATATATCTGCTGTAGTGGAGGAGAGATTAAGAAACTCTTTGTAAGTGTCCCTTTAGGGGAACGAAGAGGACGTTATTTATTTATTTTTGTGGCAGCCATTCAAATGTTGAAGAGGGAGAGACTTGCTTTTCTTTTGCTTCCTGCCTTCAGACAAGACCTGTGAATAAGAAGGCTCTTGGATAAGGTATGTGTCAGGTGTCCTGCAAACCAAGTGCACATTTAGAAAACCAGGGAACAGAAGGTAGTATTTGGGTGGGAAGATTTTCTGTGATCTACAACAGGCATTCTTATCTAATAAAACAACTCCCAATACAGGAGAAACTCTTAATGTATCTCCATGTAACTAACTCACGGGATTAACAATGCTCTCCAGTCCTGGAAACTTTAGCACGTAAGGCACACTTGTGTGCTTCTGCACCCAAACATTTATTGAGTGCCTACCAAGCTTGTTATAGAGATTAATTAATGAAATTCTTATAGCAACATCCTTTTACAAGTGGGAAAATGTGGCATGAGGGAGTTAATAACTCAGCACCAATTGGGTTAGATGTTTACCAGAATCGATATTTGCTAACAAACCAATTTTTGCCAGGCACACACAGTATAATTTAAATAAATAAAGTGTAAATCTGTGAAATATGAGTGTAAAAAAGAAGCTGAGCTATTATTTCTATGAAAACTAAGTTGAATGTTTTGGAAAGACTTAATAAAGGTGAATTTCTAAAAACAAAAATTGTTATTCAATTAGGTGTGAGCAAGGCCATGCACTTTTCTATCTCTGTGACTGTGCCTGTTGCTGCTAGTTAGAAGGCCTTTTCTCAGATTTTCCTCCTACGCATATGTCCTCCAGGATGACCTCCTCTGAGAAGCCTTCTCTGGTAGCTGGAGTTTTACCAGTTCTGCTAGTTGCTTAATCTCTCTGAGCCTTAGAGTCTGTATCTATTAAATGGAGATAATAATATCTACCTTGCAGGATTGTTTTAGAAGTTAAGTGAGATGATGCTTGTGAAATTATCTGGCCCAGAGCTCAACAAATGGCACTAATTACGGTGTGCTTGATCCTGTGCTAGGTGCTATGGAACCAGACAGATGAGATAGTCCCTGCCTCAAGAAGCCGCAGACGAGCACATGACTGTCTGCCTGCTTTTGTCTCCACTTGCCCTGTAGTGAGCTGAAGCAGATTTTCACAAATGTAAATAGAAACTTTTCTAGATGTTTTTAGACACTGACACCATTCTGTCATCCAAGTTGTCAGTTAGTGTTTGAATAACTCATCCTGAAGGTTGGGAGCACATCAGCACAGAGCCTCTCCAAATACAACTTTCTTATACTTGGTCACAAAAGGATGTGTCCTGAAGCCTAAAGGGGCCATAGGAATGGCTTTAAGAGGAACAGGTTCCAATTCACGGAGGCCATATGGAGCAGAGTCCGGAATCTCTACAAGTCGGGTTCAAATCATGGCTGTCCCATTCACTGGCTATTTGACCTCAGGAAAGTTCATAATGACTCTGAGTCTCATCAGAAAAATGAGAATGATAATTCTCATTTCATATGAGGGTTATCAGAAGCAGATGAGGTGAACTGTCAAGTGTCCAGCACAGTACCTGGCATATAGTCAATAGCTGATAAACATTAGTTTCCTAATAGGTGAGGAATGTAGCGGGCACACATCTAACCTATGAGCTAAGGAAGTGCAAGCAGGCCTTCTTTCAATGCTTTCTTTATGCCATCATCACGCAGATTCTAGTCTGGATAGCCCATTGGTCTGACTCTGCACATAGTCTCTTCCGGTAGAAATGACTAATAATCAAATTCTTATCCCATTCTTTAGCTTGCAGGGTTGTCTTGAGTGAGGTAATAAGCCTCTGGGAGCTTCAGTTTCTTTATTTATGACGTGCAGATACAAGTGCCTATCTTGCAATAATGATGACAGGAATAGAAATAATGAAAAGCGTCTAGGACAGTGCTGACACTCATAGGTACTCAATGAATTGTGGCTAATATTGGTATAGTAGGAGGCCTTTTATCTAAATCAGAAGTTGGCCAATTGATTAAAAAAAGTTGATTAAAGCAGGGAATCTTAAAAAGAAAAAACCAGATACAACTGTTCCTTCCCTCACCATGTCCCGCTAGTACCACTGAGATCATCAAACCTGTTAATTTCATCCCTAATGGTAACTTCCATCCCCACTCCTGGCCTGTATGATAGACATGAGTCATCCACCTACAAAGGCTAGAAATATTGCTGCAGACAGAAAGTTTGGTTGGCAACCTTGCAGGTTTTCCTGCTCACAGAGACCAGATAAATGACCACAGGCTGGGGTAGGAGAAGAAGAGAATGGGGGTGGCACTCACCATGGATCACAGAAGAGGAAGATGTGGAGAAATCTGAAACGAGAGGAAGGTGGTTAGGAAGGGTTAATGGGAAGAGGAACCATGAAGTGGGAACTTCTTCAGTGACCAGCTGTCCCTCATGCTGCTGTGTGAGGTGAACCAACCACTATCTGCAGAGTTGGGCTGCCCCCTGAGCATCTGATTTGGAATGAGCTCTTTTGCTCTGGAGGCCTTGGCAAGCTTTCCTTCCCCATCTGACACTTCACATGTTAGCAACATTGACTCTTGTAGGCTCCAGAACATATGGTGAGAGGGTGTGGCATCCTGGAGGGGTTATGGTGCCCTGAAGGGAAATCTTTACCCCCTTCTCAAAGTGAGGCTGGACAGAACCAGTTTGACCTTGCATCCACTTTGAGACAGTGGTGAAACACCCCACCTTGTTATGCATATGTCAAATTGCAAACTCTATGGATTTAGGGTTCTGTGTTTCTAAGTTAAACTGGAGACTACCCCCACTCCGAACTGGGACCATATAGTCAATGCAAAATCCACCTGCTAAAGATGACGCTCATATTGTAATAAAATGCTCACTTCTGATTTAGTTGTTCTTGCAGCTTATAATTAGACCTTGTTGTTAGGAGAAAAAAAAAAACTTGAAAGCAGCTTTGTTTCAGTGCTATTCAGATCTGTGACTGACCCAGTTTTTAAAAATTAAAAATGTGGCACTGGTATTTGTCAGGTCTGCACCTTGCTCACATTCTTGTAAGATGAGCATTGAGAAGTGTTTTCTGAGCTGTGAATATGTGGAAGAGGAAGGGCCTTGTGGCTGAGGGCATTGACCAGCCCTCAAGCAAAATTCCAGAGGCATGGATCTTGCCCAGATATACTGTCACACGTCAAAGGAAGAAGGCAAAATAGACTTCTCTGGAAGGTAACCTTAAAAACCTATGGATTTTAGGGGGCTGGCCCTGTGGCCGAGTGGTTAAGTTCATGCGCTCCACTGCAGGCGGCCCAGTGTTTCGTTGGTTCGAATCCTGGGCACGGACATGGCACTGCTCATCAAACCACGCTGAGGCAGCGTCCCACATGCCACAACTAGAAGGACCCACAACGAAGAATATACAACTATGTATGGGGGTGGGGGGGCTTTGGGGAGAAAAAGGAAAAAAGTAAAATCTTAAAAAAAAAAAACCCTATGGATTTTAGAGGCAAATAATTATGGAGGTTGTTTATGCCAGTGTTCTCAATGTTTTTGTCACCACTACCCTATAGAGCTGAAACCTTAGTCATCAATCCTCCCATCCGCCCCTGTGTGCAGAGGATCTGGCTGCTGGGATGCTCCTCCCAGCCTTGCAAGAAAGTTGGTGCTAAATTCTAAAGAAATGAAATGAATTAGGACTATCCTCTGTGTCTGATTTTTAGGATTTCCAAATATCATAGTTGATTCTCTGACTTTTCATTATAACACAAAGCTTTCAGCCTCCCAACCTACCCTCTCACACAGAAGTCATGGACAGCTCTCCTCTGCCCTCATTCTCAAGCATGTATAAACAACCAAAGATGACCAGACACTTAAGGTAAACATAAAGCACAAGACAAACTAACAAAGAAATAATCATACTCTAGGAAGCAGAGATTACTCAGGAGAAAATCAAACAACTAAATAAGCAAATTTAGAAGAATCATCAAATTAGTATCTTCATAGAAGATGGCGCATCCACAAAATAGGAAAAGGTTGTTATGAGAAAGGAAAAACTGAGAGCTCAAAATAGAGGCTTTCCCAAAGTTGACAACAATCCTAGTATTTATATGACATTACCAATAATGATGTGTGAAGCAGAAAAAAGCTTTTCTAAACTGTCAACTACAAAGAACGAGTTTTGGTCAACCATAGAGACAAGAGTGATTTATTTTCCTATTACTTCTATTGAAAATGATAGTACAAAAGTACATAGAGGAGTCTCATGCACTTAAGTAATAAAGATTTTGCATTTCTCTGGTTGTCACCTTTTTAAAATTTGTAGTTTGTTGTTTCTTTTCTCACTCTAAAAAAATTTACTGTCAGATATAATTTTGTATTCATAATTTAATATTTTTTTCTTAAAGAGGCCCCCCAAATTGTCTGAGTTTCAGCCCCCACCAAACCTAGATGTGCCCCTGGCAGTGAGCTGCGTTACTTGTAGACAGAACAGAGCAGGTGGCAAGCAAACAGCAGAAGGATTAGGGTTAGCTAAGATTTCACTTCAGATTCCTGTCAAACACATGGCTCTCCCTGTCTATTGTTTATAACTAAACAAACAGGTAGTGAAAGTGTGAAAACATTTCGCCTAGAAAATACATATCCAATTTGTGAGAATAGTTGCCTCGGAGTCCAGGGTGCCTTATTTTCTGAAGCAAAAATGAAAAAATAACGTGTATTTATTTTGAGTGGTGGACACACAGATGCTGTATTACTCTCAATGATTTTCTCTTTTCAATTTAAATTGTGCAGTTTTAAAGTCAGATTCCCTCAGAATTTGGAGGGCATTGTTGATAGTCTCCTAGCAGCCAGTATTTCTCGTGACAAAGCTTATACCCGTCAGATGCCCTCTTTCGCGGGCGACCTGCCTGCCCTCTCTTTAACCTTGTGTCCACTATTTCACAGCAATCTGTATGTGGACCTTGAGGCCCTCACCGTGCTAGGCTTTTGGGAACTTTCCAACCTGAGGACTCATGTCCTTCAGTTCCAAGTATTTCTTTTCTGTTTGTTCTCTGTCAATTTTGTCCTTGCCATTTCTGTTCTCTTTCTGGATCTCCTGTTAGTCAAATGTTAGCCTTCCTATTTTTGTCTCACACTTTATGCAGGGTTTTTTTCTCTTATTTTATGGGAGGTTTCTTTTACCATGCCACAATCTCTTTATTGAAATTTTTGGCGATTATATTTTTAATTTCCAAGATTTTTTTCCTTTTTCATAATATCCTATTTTTACTTTGTAGATGCTCTGTCTTCTATGAGGATACTCATTAAATGGTTTTAATTATAACAGATGTGTCTTTTTTGTGTGTTGTTTTGCAGATGGGGTAGTTTAAACACACATACCAATGTGGATTTTTACTGACTGTGGGCTGTAAGAATACTCTTGGAAGCCATTCCTGTGCTGGAGGAGCTAATAATAACAGCTATACATGAAAGTGATTGTGAACCACATAAATATAGCCAGCTAACCCAAACTGAAGATGTTCTCAACTCGACTTCCCCCTTAGCAGGGTCCCCAGAATGTCTGCGACCATACCACCACCACTCTATATGAGGAGTAGCTGCAGTGGGAAGAAAAAGTGGTCTCAATTAATTACTATGAAACAATTTTGCCTTTGCAATATTTTGAAAATACATGATGCAGCAACGCCAAGGAGTTTTCTCCACATTTTCTTCTATGAGTTTTATGGTTTCAGGTCTTACATTTAAGCCTTTAACCCATTTTGAGTTAATGTTTGTGAGTGGTGTAAAGATAGGGGTCCAATTCTTTTATATGTGAATATCCAGTTTTTCCAACACCATTTATTGAAAAGACTATCATTTCCCCACCAAGTATTCTTGGCTCCCTTGTCAAATACTAGTTGACTGTATATGTGTGGGCTTATTTCTGGGTTCTTGATTCTATTCCATTGGTCTATGTGTCTGTTTTTATGTATTTAATCTTTAAAATATTTGTGTAGTAGTTTGCATTTGCTTCATTTAAACACAAAGAAATGGAGACAGAGAGATGTATCTCGCCCTAGGTCAACAGCTAAGATGTTTTCAAGTCATTTTGATTCCAAAGCCTGTGTCCTCAACTATATCATATCACCTCCTGGTATGGTGTGTGGAAATTGTTCCTAAACCTCAGTAAACTTCCCTGTTTCTCTTGTTCCCATATATGAGAATACAGGTGTACGTATAATTGGATTTCCATTTATCAATATTTCTATATAAGAGAACACGTACTTTTATATACCTTTGTATACACTGTCATATATTTTGTATTAAGCAATGCCTTGTAAAGTTAACAATAACCCGGTAATTTAATTGCATTTATATCGAGTGTGCTGCAAGTCGTTTCAATAGCACCACTTCACAGGCGGCCACACACATCACCACAGAAGTGTGAGGGCGAAGACAAAGTTTAAAGAGCGAATATTTACATCAGCTTCAGCAATGGGGTTATGGATGAGTCATGACTGAACCATGATATGTACATGTCTTAAAGTTTAGTTATTAGAAAATTATAGGACAAAAATGCTGCTGGTACAAATGTGTGTCACTACAGGATCGCTAACACAGCAACTTTAGCAAACAACAAAGAGAAAGCTAAACTAACAGAAATTTTAAATCAGAGAGGAAGAATATCAGCAACTGAAAATCACCACAAACTCAAGACAGCACTATAAGGATTTCATACTCTGGTAACAGAGTCCATTCCCCAAATTAAGAGCATTCCAGCTATCTGGGTGAGGGAATGAGAAGGAGGAGACAAATCCGGGTGCGAAGCTTGGCCTAGCAGCCAGATTTCTTAGTGGAAGACTGAATTTAGCGTCTTTAATAAACCCTAGCAACAGCCCAGTTTTAGTTTATGAGTGTCACATTTTAGTAATGGATAATTCGCTTAGTAGGTTACTAATGAAAGTGAAAGTTTATAAAATGATTAACTTGGTGGTCGGTTTGAAGCTCCTCAGCAAGACTCAGGCCCATCAGTAAACGCCAGCTCATCTTTAAAGAATCCCTTACACAAGGGGAAAGAGCAGAGAGAATTAGGGTCAGAACAGGCTGGTCTTAAATCCCCGCTTTCCAGCTATGAGACCTCGAGCAAGATTCTTAGCTGGTCTGAGCTTCAGCATCAGTGAATCGTTCCGTGGTGAGCTGGAACTGGCTCATATGGGTGTCAGAAAGCTGACTGTTACATTTCCAGGAATTTTGCAGGCCTGTTGTTAAACCATTGGTAGCTTGAGAGCAGCCACAGTAGCAGTATGACACCACAAAAATCAGTGAATAGTAAAAATCAGGGATTTTTTTTTCCTTCCAGAAAACTGGTTTACCA